GCCGATTCAAGTCTTGGCCTAAAATTCCTCTTTTAGCATTTATAGAAAGGGCACCATTTCTTAGTTCTAGCCCACTTCACACATTCATGCATTCAAGACTTTAAGTAACAAGGAGGGACACTTTAGTCTACCAACCAAGTCACAACATTATCATCTAAGGATACTTCATAATCCAATATCATTTCATATATATACATCATGAGAAAAATCATACTTTAAATCACAATGCTATCCACTTTACATAGGATCTTCACAAGATCACATAAACTCATTCACATCATACCTTCACACATAAAGCTTCACATAAAACTTTACATATAGTTTCATATAGGACTTTACATATAGCCTCATTTATATATATAATATACAATACAATAACACTTTGTACAAGATCACCTTATAACCATAAGAATACCTTCACATAGTACAATAACATTTCATAACTTGATAACACTTTAATTCAATAGATAATGCCTTCAAGTCCATGTTCATAATACATTCCATAATTAAACACCTCCACCATAAGTGGATCAAACTAAGCAAGAACAATTTTATCCATAATAAGAGATTAAGCCAACTTACCATCCTCCAAAGCCATAATCAACAACACTCAAGTCCCAACCATTTTACTTACCAAAAGAGAATTCATTATAACTTGTGTCACGCCCCGAGCCTACACCCTGGGCGGGACCGGCACCTGGAGACCATTGCTGGCCCCAGGCGAACCCTTGGCCTGGCTTTCTTAACTCAGCGGAAACCTACTCAACAGAATAACTCAATGCTATGCAGAGACATAAACAACTTAAATGATACAAATCTGGCCAAAAAGGCAACTCGAGTCTCAAAATAGAATACTTACATATATACGTCGATAAGAGACTCAAAACTAACTGACTGACTGTCTATGAAGCCTCTAAAATACTTAGATGGATGTTGGGACAGACCCCGCAACACCCTAATAAACAAAACTAAGAGAACAAAATAACTGAGCCCTCTGGAAGCAATGAGGCTCACCCCTGACTCTAGAGTGCTCACTGGATCAACGGCGTGCAGAATGCTGATCCTGGGTACCTGCGTCTGCATCATAAAACGATGCAGGCCAACTGGCATCAGTACATGGAATGTACGAGTATGCGAGCTGGACCGCTAAAAACAACTTAAGCTTGAAAAGGGATACAAAAGAGAACTTACCTTGGCTCTGTACAACTCAAGAATAACTGAACTTAATATAAGCAATGAGACACATGCAATATATAAAGCCTTTGAAACTATTAAAACATGACGTAAAAATCATATTTATAATATCATGAAAATACCATGCTTCCTCTCAAAGTCTACTTGTGCAATGCATGAATGAAGTCCCATACCCCCATCCATACTAAGCAGAACTTATCGAGGAACCAAGCTCTTTTTACTGCTGTGGGAGTTTCTCTAACCGATAACCACCACTATGAAACTAAGTGGTGATACAACGTTTTACCTCACGTTGCCCAAGGACCATCCTATACCTTGCCATCGATATAGGACCTTACTTTAACTTTTGCTTAATGGATCCACTAGCTTAACTTTCGTGATCATCTAAAAAGTATGATCCGAGAAATCCCATGTTTGGCTACATGGTTCTTATGGAGAGTTGAGTTAATATGAACTCGTGTCCCCAACTCGGTGCTCAAGACTACTCCCAAAAATACTTTAGCTCATAAGTGTTTTAAACACATCTTTCTTTAGTTGAGATAATTACTCAAAACTTAGCCCGAAGGCACTTGAAAACTCTTTCTAAAAAGAACAAATCAAAACCATAATTTTTATATGATCATTGATGACTCGGGATATTCATACTGCTTAAACATTGATGGTATATCTAGAGACCATACTGTTTAAACATTGATGACATACTCGATTTGTCATATCTAATCATATTTTAGAAACTCTTTTGAAAAACTCATCTTTTATTTTTAAAGGAGATAGTGCTCAAACTTCTCAAAACTCTTTTGAAAATCTCTGTTTCCTCTCAACTTAGATGTGAAAACACTTATAACTTCCTTGGGAAATACTTAGTTCCCTAATTACTTTTTGAGAAATGAACTCAACTCTTGACTCTTGACTTAACTCGAAACTCGATACTCTTTACTCGACTTGAAACTATATGCTCTTTACTCTTTACTAAACTTGAAACTTGAAACTCTTTACTTAGCTTGAAACTCTATACTCTTTGCTTGACTTGAAACTCTATACTTAACTAGGAACTTGAGCCTTAGAATGAAGTTAAAACGTTCAATGAAGACTCTTGAAAAGCTTTAAAGACTTGTTTGGACTTACTTAATTTCTAAGCTTGACTTCACTTGAATCGGAAACTAACTTCACTTGAATTGAATTATGGATTCAAGGACTTGATTGGTGTTTGGGAGGACCTCATGATGTTTAGGAATGATTTAGGAATGATTTGGAACAACCAAACTTAAGAAAATTTTTGAGAATAAATTCTGAAAACAGTGAAGTCCGCGTCCTGTCCGCGACGCGGGGAAGATTTTGTTCACAGAGGGAACAAGTCCGCGACACAGACTTGTTTCATGTAAGAAGCCCGACTTTTCTCCTTCGTTTTTTCCAACTCTAAACTCTCTAACTTCAAGGGTTCCAACCCCAATCACTTAGAAACATGAAATCCCTCAACATTCAATAGATTTCAACTCAAAACCCCAACCGGAAACAAGTCCCATATCATCAAGAATCTCGACATCACAACCAACAACAATACCAACAATAATTTCAACAACTAACAACTTTAACAACTCTAACAACTTCAACCACAACAACTCACAACTCCAACAAACACAATCCATCTTTTCTCGAAAATAAAACGAGTTTGGCATGTGGGGGAAAGGATCACCCAACACTAAAAGCTCACATACCTTGATAGGGATCACCCCCGACGAAAATCCACGATGATCTCCTTGCTTGATCTCCTCTTCTTCTCTTCTTCTCTTCTTCTTCTCTTCTTCTTCTCTCAAAACCCTCACTCTCACTTCTTTTAAAATGGTAAAACTGATCAGCCCAACACATTTATATAACCAAAATAAAAGGCTAGGGAAAAGACCAAAATGCCCTTAATGATTCCCGGACGGATTTCCTTGTCAACTGCCCAACTTTCAAAGGTCATAACTCGCTCATACGGACTCGGAATTGAGCAAACTCGGTGGCGTTAGAAAGATCATTCCACGAACTTTGCAACCATAACTGGAATTCCACCTAACTCATCATGAGCTAGAATTTATGGCTGTTCAAAGTTGGCCAAAAATTCACATTTTCCATACTTAGCCGAAAATTTCCAAAACTTTAAAATTCTTTCCAAAAATGAAAATTTCCAATTCTAAGCCTCTTCAAAGCTATATCAAATTGTCGGATGTTACAATATCTCCCCCTTGGGAACATTCGTCCTCGAATGAGGCTACTCTTACAAAGCTAAAAGGGTGTAACATCAACTCAACACCCAACAAACAACCATGCAACACCAACAACAACTACATGCTCACTATAATTAAAAGAGCATTAAGAAGGAAATTAGTACCTTGATCTACACTTCCTTCGAATTCAAAGAGATGTGGATGTCTCTTCTTCATGTCCTCTTCGGCTTCCCAAGTAGCTTTCTCAACAAATTGGTTCCTCCTCATGACTCCTTTCATGGTTGAACTTTCAAACATACTCAATCTTTTACTTCAAACTCTAACGTCTTTCTCCTAACATCAATGTAGGATTCTTGACGACTCTGTACCGTTTTCAACCTCTCTTGAATTACTTCCGCCCTTTCTATAGCTTGATGAACTAACTCTGGTCCTATCAACCCTGCTTTACTAACTTCAAACCATCTCAACAAGATATCTACATCTTCTCCCATAAAAACTTCATAACGAGCCATATGGGTGCTAGACTAGTAACTATCGTTGTAAGCGACTCCATGTAAGATAAGTAATCATCTCACTTATCCTTGGAATCAATTCCACAATCCGCCTTGATATCTCCCCCTTGTTCAAAAGCCATCACTGCTTATGAACATGGTCTGAGTCTTTCTTACCTTCTACTTCTGACACTAATGATAACTCGGCCCCGCTCGTCACTTCTATTCCTCATTCTACGAAATCTATAAGTCTGACTCCCAAGCGTGCAAGTCCGTGCACATATTTTTGCTAACTCTCCCTTTTCTTCTCCAATATGAGCGGTGCTACCCATAGACAACTTTGCTTAAAGAATTCGTAACGACATTAACCTTACCAGGGTGATAAAGAAAACTCATATCATCATCCTTGAGTACCTTAACCACTCTCTTTGTCTGAGACTAAGCCCATTTTAAGTGAACACACCCACATGAACATCATACAACAATGACGCCATATCTTTGAAGCAAAACTACAACAACCAACTCTAGCTCATCACATTACACCCCGATTCGCCTAAACTCGACTATTGATCTCAAATCCATTTTAGATTCAGATAGTCAGTATGTACTCAAGAACCAAATATCATAACTAGGCGGTACTCAACTTCTCTTTTTCGTTCTTGAAAGTCTTCCTCACAAGCTTTAGACCATTGAAAATTCGTTGTTCCCCGAGTCCACCTGGTCAAATAAAACCCTTTTCTAACAGATCCTTTAACTGCTTGTTCAACTCCTTCAACTCTGCTGGTGCCATTCTATATGGCGGAATAGAGATGGGACGAGTATCTGGAATGAGATCTATGCCGAAATTTATTTCTCTCTCAGGAGGAATTCCGGGTAGATCATCAGGAAACACTTCTGGAAACTCTCTTACTATAGGAACTGACTGGAAAAGAGGTATCTCAACACTAGAGCCATGAACTCGGACTAAGTGATAGATACAACCCTTTGAAACTAACTTTCTCGCCTTAAGGTACGAAAAGAAACAACCCTTCGGCACTGCTAAACTACTACTCCACTCTATGACTGGCTCACTAGGTTGCTCAGGTATAACATCAAAGTTCATAGCAACCTAAGAAATTTCAAAAGATAAACTTGCTCTGAAGTCTAGTAAAGCATAAATAGCAAAGTCAAAGACTCGAATCATACCAGTGACAACATCTGGCGAATCCTCTTGCTCTTGGCGACTGTTGATTGCGTAGAGGAGGTTTGCCCCTCCACCAGTACTAGAAGTAGCTCCTCTAGGTGTCATCCTGTCTGGTGGGACAACTGAAGAAGATTGGGCCTTACTGCTCAGATTTCCACTACCTTGCCTGCTCTTAGGGCACTCCTTTATGACGTGTCCCTCTTGTCCACACTTAAAGCAACCTGTCTGGCCCTGACGACACTTCCCTGGGTGAGTTCTACCACACCTAGCACATGAAAGAGCCTTACTACCCCTTGGTACTATACTTCCTTGAAGATAGGCAGGTCGAGCCCTGAAATTATAGGAATTTCTTTTGTGCCCATCTTTGTTCTCAAGTGCAGGCACACTAGCAGATGGCGGAACAGGTCTCTTCTGTTTTTGTGGGAGGGATGACTGATTAACATCATTCTTTTGTTGCCTGAACTCGTCCCCTACTATCTTAGCCCTCTTATTCTTAGACTCTTCTCTATCCTTCAACTTATCCTCCCCAACTTGTTGTAAATGAATCATGAATCTTGCTAGGTCAATATCCCCTATCAGCATAGCTGCCTTGCCTTCCTTGCTTGACTGACGAGATAACCCAGCAACATATGAACTCATCCTACTCCTCATGTCAGCAACCATCTCCGGAGCATAGCGGGAAAGTTGTGTGAACTTCTGACTGTACTCATGAACACTCATAGACTCCGGATTAAGGGTGAGAAACTCTTTTATCTTTGCCTCTCGCAAGTCACGAGGAAAGAAACGCCCCATGAGAGCACTCTCAAACACAACCCAACTTACTGCTGGCGCATCCTCAGCCCTATTCTGTTTCCATTGGTCAAACCAGATTCTAGCGATACCCTTCAATTGGTACGCAGCTAGTTCCACCCTCTCCAACTCAGCAACATGCATCACATCAAATATCCTTTTAAGCTCCTTAATGAAATTCTCCAGATTCTCACTAATACTTGAACCTGAGAAGCTTGGTGGGTTCATCCTTAAGAGTTCACGGATTCTTGAAGTATCAACCACTTCGCGTCGATTATCTCTCTGCCCAACATGATAGGTCGCAACTTGACTTAATATCCGGATAGCTTCGCGACGATCAACATACTTGATCTCTTCTTGGGTTTGAACATCTAGGGAATTCGGTAACTCTTGTTCCTCAAAACTCTTCATAGCTGGACGAACTCTAACTGCTCTTCGTGGAGGCATGATCCTCACTGAAACACGCGCAAGCACGAATTAGAAAGAAACTTTTTAGAGATAAACTCTAACGCACGAGATGAGTACGAAAGAAATGAGAAATCTTCCTAAATGTTGCAGCCTCCCAATTATAGATGTGGCGCGCTTCACATCGATAACTAGGACTCTACAGACACGGCTTCATAGACTCCCTAGGACTCTTGAACTCTAGGCTCTGATACCAAGTTTGTCACGCCCCGAGCCTACACCCTGGGCGGGACCGGCACCTGGAGACCATTGCTGGCCCCAGGCGAACCCTTGGCCTGGCTTTCTTAACTCAGCGGAAACCTACTCAACAGAATAACTCAATGCTATGCAGAGACATAAACAACTTAAATGATACAAATCTGGCCAAAAAGGCAACTCGAGTCTCAAAATAGAATACTTACATATATACGTCGATAAGAGACTCAAAACTAACTGACTGACTGTCTATGAAGCCTCTAAAATACTTAGATGGATGTTGGGACAGACCCCGCAACACCCTAATAAACAAAACTAAGAGAACAAAATAACTGAGCCCTCTGGAAGCAATGAGGCTCACCCCTGACTCTAGAGTGCTCACTGGATCAACGGCGTGCAGAATGCTGATCCTGGGTACCTGCGTCTGCATCATAAAACGATGCAGGCCAACTGGCATCAGTACATGGAATGTACGAGTATGCGAGCTGGACCGCTAAAAACAACTTAAGCTTGAAAAGGGATACAAAAGAGAACTTACCTTGGCTCTGTACAACTCAAGAATAACTGAACTTAATATAAGCAATGAGACACATGCAATATATAAAGCCTTTGAAACTATTAAAACATGACGTAAAAATCATATTTATAATATCATGAAAATACCATGCTTCCTCTCAAAGTCTACTTGTGCAATGCATGAATGAAGTCCCATACCCCCATCCATACTAAGCAGAACTTATCGAGGAACCAAGCTCTTTTTACTGCTGTGGGAGTTTCTCTAACCGATAACCACCACTATGAAACTAAGTGGTGATACAACGTTTTACCTCACGTTGCCCAAGGACCATCCTATACCTTGCCATCGATATAGGACCTTACTTTAACTTTTGCTTAATGGATCCACTAGCTTAACTTTCGTGATCATCTAAAAAGTATGATCCGAGAAATCCCATGTTTGGCTACATGGTTCTTATGGAGAGTTGAGTTAATATGAACTCGTGTCCCCAACTCGGTGCTCAAGACTACTCCCAAAAATACTTTAGCTCATAAGTGTTTTAAACACATCTTTCTTTAGTTGAGATAATTACTCAAAACTTAGCCCGAAGGCACTTGAAAACTCTTTCTAAAAAGAACAAATCAAAACCATAATTTTTATATGATCATTGATGACTCGGGATATTCATACTGCTTAAACATTGATGGTATATCTAGAGACCATACTGTTTAAACATTGATGACATACTCGATTTGTCATATCTAATCATATTTTAGAAACTCTTTTGAAAAACTCATCTTTTATTTTTAAAGGAGATAGTGCTCAAACTTCTCAAAACTCTTTTGAAAATCTCTGTTTCCTCTCAACTTAGATGTGAAAACACTTATAACTTCCTTGGGAAATACTTAGTTCCCTAATTACTTTTTGAGAAATGAACTCAACTCTTGACTCTTGACTTAACTCGAAACTCGATACTCTTTACTCGACTTGAAACTATATGCTCTTTACTCTTTACTAAACTTGAAACTTGAAACTCTTTACTTAGCTTGAAACTCTATACTCTTTGCTTGACTTGAAACTCTATACTTAACTAGGAACTTGAGCCTTAGAATGAAGTTAAAACGTTCAATGAAGACTCTTGAAAAGCTTTAAAGACTTGTTTGGACTTACTTAATTTCTAAGCTTGACTTCACTTGAATCGGAAACTAACTTCACTTGAATTGAATTATGGATTCAAGGACTTGATTGGTGTTTGGGAGGACCTCATGATGTTTAGGAATGATTTAGGAATGATTTGGAACAACCAAACTTAAGAAAATTTTTGAGAATAAATTCTGAAAACAGTGAAGTCCGCGTCCTGTCCGCGACGCGGGGAAGATTTTGTTCACAGAGGGAACAAGTCCGCGACACAGACTTGTTTCATGTAAGAAGCCCGACTTTTCTCCTTCGTTTTTTCCAACTCTAAACTCTCTAACTTCAAGGGTTCCAACCCCAATCACTTAGAAACATGAAATCCCTCAACATTCAATAGATTTCAACTCAAAACCCCAACCGGAAACAAGTCCCATATCATCAAGAATCTCGACATCACAACCAACAACAATACCAACAATAATTTCAACAACTAACAACTTTAACAACTCTAACAACTTCAACCACAACAACTCACAACTCCAACAAACACAATCCATCTTTTCTCGAAAATAAAACGAGTTTGGCATGTGGGGGAAAGGATCACCCAACACTAAAAGCTCACATACCTTGATAGGGATCACCCCCGACGAAAATCCACGATGATCTCCTTGCTTGATCTCCTCTTCTTCTCTTCTTCTCTTCTTCTTCTCTTCTTCTTCTCTCAAAACCCTCACTCTCACTTCTTTTAAAATGGTAAAACTGATCAGCCCAACACATTTATATAACCAAAATAAAAGGCTAGGGAAAAGACCAAAATGCCCTTAATGATTCCCGGACGGATTTCCTTGTCAACTGCCCAACTTTCAAAGGTCATAACTCGCTCATACGGACTCGGAATTGAGCAAACTCGGTGGCGTTAGAAAGATCATTCCACGAACTTTGCAACCATAACTGGAATTCCACCTAACTCATCATGAGCTAGAATTTATGGCTGTTCAAAGTTGGCCAAAAATTCACATTTTCCATACTTAGCCGAAAATTTCCAAAACTTTAAAATTCTTTCCAAAAATGAAAATTTCCAATTCTAAGCCTCTTCAAAGCTATATCAAATTGTCGGATGTTACAATATCTCCCCCTTGGGAACATTCGTCCTCGAATGAGGCTACTCTTACAAAGCTAAAAGGGTGTAACATCAACTCAACACCCAACAAACAACCATGCAACACCAACAACAACTACATGCTCACTATAATTAAAAGAGCATTAAGAAGGAAATTAGTACCTTGATCTACACTTCCTTCGAATTCAAAGAGATGTGGATGTCTCTTCTTCATGTCCTCTTCGGCTTCCCAAGTAGCTTTCTCAACAAATTGGTTCCTCCTCATGACTCCTTTCATGGTTGAACTTTCAAACATACTCAATCTTTTACTTCAAACTCTAACGTCTTTCTCCTAACATCAATGTAGGATTCTTGACGACTCTGTACCGTTTTCAACCTCTCTTGAATTACTTCCGCCCTTTCTATAGCTTGATGAACTAACTCTGGTCCTATCAACCCTGCTTTACTAACTTCAAACCATCTCAACAAGATATCTACATCTTCTCCCATAAAAACTTCATAACGAGCCATATGGGTGCTAGACTAGTAACTATCGTTGTAAGCGACTCCATGTAAGATAAGTAATCATCTCACTTATCCTTGGAATCAATTCCACAATCCGCCTTGATATCTCCCCCTTGTTCAAAAGCCATCACTGCTTATGAACATGGTCTGAGTCTTTCTTACCTTCTACTTCTGACACTAATGATAACTCGGCCCCGCTCGTCACTTCTATTCCTCATTCTACGAAATCTATAAGTCTGACTCCCAAGCGTGCAAGTCCGTGCACATATTTTTGCTAACTCTCCCTTTTCTTCTCCAATATGAGCGGTGCTACCCATAGACAACTTTGCTTAAAGAATTCGTAACGACATTAACCTTACCAGGGTGATAAAGAAAACTCATATCATCATCCTTGAGTACCTTAACCACTCTCTTTGTCTGAGACTAAGCCCATTTTAAGTGAACACACCCACATGAACATCATACAACAATGACGCCATATCTTTGAAGCAAAACTACAACAACCAACTCTAGCTCATCACATTACACCCCGATTCGCCTAAACTCGACTATTGATCTCAAATCCATTTTAGATTCAGATAGTCAGTATGTACTCAAGAACCAAATATCATAACTAGGCGGTACTCAACTTCTCTTTTTCGTTCTTGAAAGTCTTCCTCACAAGCTTTAGACCATTGAAAATTCGTTGTTCCCCGAGTCCACCTGGTCAAATAAAACCCTTTTCTAACAGATCCTTTAACTGCTTGTTCAACTCCTTCAACTCTGCTGGTGCCATTCTATATGGCGGAATAGAGATGGGACGAGTATCTGGAATGAGATCTATGCCGAAATTTATTTCTCTCTCAGGAGGAATTCCGGGTAGATCATCAGGAAACACTTCTGGAAACTCTCTTACTATAGGAACTGACTGGAAAAGAGGTATCTCAACACTAGAGCCATGAACTCGGACTAAGTGATAGATACAACCCTTTGAAACTAACTTTCTCGCCTTAAGGTACGAAAAGAAACAACCCTTCGGCACTGCTAAACTACTACTCCACTCTATGACTGGCTCACTAGGTTGCTCAGGTATAACATCAAAGTTCATAGCAACCTAAGAAATTTCAAAAGATAAACTTGCTCTGAAGTCTAGTAAAGCATAAATAGCAAAGTCAAAGACTCGAATCATACCAGTGACAACATCTGGCGAATCCTCTTGCTCTTGGCGACTGTTGATTGCGTAGAGGAGGTTTGCCCCTCCACCAGTACTAGAAGTAGCTCCTCTAGGTGTCATCCTGTCTGGTGGGACAACTGAAGAAGATTGGGCCTTACTGCTCAGATTTCCACTACCTTGCCTGCTCTTAGGGCACTCCTTTATGACGTGTCCCTCTTGTCCACACTTAAAGCAACCTGTCTGGCCCTGACGACACTTCCCTGGGTGAGTTCTACCACACCTAGCACATGAAAGAGCCTTACTACCCCTTGGTACTATACTTCCTTGAAGATAGGCAGGTCGAGCCCTGAAATTATAGGAATTTCTTTTGTGCCCATCTT